GTACTTATTACAGATATTAAAGGTAACAGTGGGCTTTTCTCAAAAACTGTCTCCCACCTTCCAGGTGAATTGTAATTCAGACATTAAAAAGTAGCAGCTAAAATCAGAGGAACCTGCCCCAAGCAATTCTTACTGTTGCTGTTTGAGAGACAATGAACAAATGCTTTTCCTTTAGAAATGGCCTAGTGCATCTTTTTTAAAATGGATTTCCCTAGTCTAGTGGAAATTTCTTGCCTCAGCTACACAGAAGATTATTAGCTTCTCTGTGTGGTTTTTATTTTTTTTTAAGATTTTACTTATTTATTTATTATGTATACAACATTCTGCTTCCATGTATATCTGCACACCAGAAGAGGGCACCAGATCTCATAACGGATGGTTATGAGCCACCATGTGGTTGCTGGGAACTGAACTCAGGCCCTCTGGAAGAGCAGTCAGTGCTCTTAACCTCTGAGCCATCTCTCCAGCCCCCTCTCTGTGTGGTTTTTAAATCCTTGTTCAGCTCTTTCGAAGGAATGCAGGAATTCTTGAGGAGCCATGCTTGGAGGACTCATGAGGAGACGTGTCTGGGGGAGCAGAGGCCCAGCCCCTGAGGCAGGTGGGAGTATCCTGAACAGCCTTACACAAAGCCAGGGTGACTGAATTTGGACCCAAACACTTTGCAAAACCCTGGGTCTATTTCTTGAGTTCAGCTGGCAGGAATGGGTTTGTCTTATCTAATACTGGAAGATAACGTAGCCTTCTACACCGTGTGGGGCCTGTAGAAGGTACAATCTTGATTGCTTTGCTGACCACGGCTTAGGTCATCGATTTGGCACTTTTCACTTGACCTGAAAGAAGCACATTTTTAAATGACATTTGATTAGCCTGTGATACAGAACACACAGAAGCCAGTTTTTCAAACAATGGGCATGCAATACATCAGTGTATCCTAGCCTGAAGAAGTCATTGATTAAACCCTGGCACTTGGGTAAAGCCACAGGAACACACTTTCATATACTCGCTTTGCCTGGTGTTTGTTAGACCACCACCTAGAGAAACTCTGATTAAAATGTTGAACCTCTTTCATCTTCATTTCTTTGTTGTAAAATGAAGGATCATTTCAGAGGTTCCATCAAGATCCAGCATAGCATCTTCTGCTATGAAGATGTCTAGAGGGGACATCTGTAACATGAGGAACCTGAGGAAAGAGGGAATCCTTCTGCAGAGGTGAGGAGGGGGAAGGGAGGCGGTTGGGTGAACTCAGTGATGGTGACAGACACGGTGGAAAATGGACTGTCTAACCCGTCAACTGAAGTCTTAATCACCCCACTTCTGGACTGGAGGGCTTGACCGCCTTTAATTTCCTCTCCCTCCAAGCTACTTCATAAAGGAAGCCAGATTATCCTCCTTTACTTAGTCCCTCTTCTCTGCCACCCTAAAGGTCTGTTTCTTTGTGTGTTTGAGACAGGGCCTTGCTATGTAGCCCAGGATAGCCTCAAACTCATGGTCCTCCTGTTCCAGCCATCCGAGTTCTGGGATTATAGTCACACAACACTAAACACACGTGCCTGTGGGTGTGCAAGTGTGTGGAGGGGGAGGGGAGCTTGTACGGGTGCACTTGTGTGTGCTGTGCGTGCCTTTGGAAGGTACAGGACAACTTCAAATGTCCCACTTCAGGCCATGCCCACATTGTTTTTTGAGACAGAGTCTCTCCATGGCCCGGGCTTGCAGATTTAGCAAGTCGAGCCTGCAAGTGAGCCCCAGGCACCTGCCTATGTCCATTACCCCAGCACTAGAACATGGCGGCCTACTCATCTACTTCAGTGGCTTCTAGAGATCAAACTCAAAGGGTCCTCATGTTTGTGAGGCAAGCATTTTATCGGCTGAGCTCTCTCCAGACCTAAAAGCTCTGTAATAGCGTTCCACTACCCATCAAGTAAAGCTTAAAGCTGTCAGATTGGGTTTGGGTAGTTTTAACAAAATGATCACAAGTTCACTCCGTGGCCCTATTTTCTAACCTGCCTTGACTCAAGGACTACAATCAGCCAGACGGGAGCACTCCATCTCCTTAGTCCCTAATCTAAACCTTTCATAGGTAGCCTGTGCTCCTGCTCTATGGTTGTCACTCTACCCTGGCTTCATGGCAGCAATGCCTCCGGCTTAGGGTGCTTTCTCTTTGTTCCTTTGGGCCTCACTGAAGTTTACCTTCCCAGGTGTACATGCTTTACTCACAATCTACACAAGCAGCTGCTTGGGGGAGGGGCAGGTCTCCCTTCAAGGTACCTAAGGGGAGTGCCACCTACCTGCTCAGTAGACATTAGTTACATAGATGGCAAGGGCGAGCCCCTCATACCACCTACACTAGCCTAATTGTCTCAACCTCTTAAAACCCACAACCCCTCTTGATAAACATCGAAAGCTTAGGTAATGAATGACACACACACACACACACACACACACACACACACACACACACACAAAAGTGAAGTTGAACTCCATCCCACGCCATATTAAAAAAAAAAAAAAAAAAAAAAAAAAAAAAAAAAAAAAAAAGGTTTCGCCTTCTCACTAAGGATTAAGTGCAAAAGTATAAAACTCTGACCAAAAAAACATAAATTTACATCTTGGTAACCTTGGGTTAGGCAATGTATCTCAGATATGACACTGCCAGCTAATCAAAGGAAAGACAAAGCTTTTGTGCTTTAAAAGATATAACCAAGAAAATGAAAACAAACTCATGCAATCGGGCAGTGCCTTTTCAGTTACATCTCTTAATAGCCAAAAGAGGAAAGGAAAGCTGGCTGCAAAATCATGGGCCCTGTTACCTCACAGCCCCACACATTATTCTGAGCAGACAAGGCATTGTTGGCAGACAGTGCTGTGGCAAAGCTATTCATTAACTAAGCCATAACGCAGACAAGTGCTACCACATTCCTGTGTGGAGGCTGGAGATTGGAATTTAAGTCACTCTTTCATCTTCAGCTGCAATTTGGATGTGCCTCCCTGGATGGCTAGTTTCTTCCTTCTTTTATAGGGTTAGAGCCTTTTGCTAACTCAAGGAAACAACCTGATTACTCTGGGGCTGTTCAAATGGGTCTCTGGACATTCTGGAAACTTCCATGAAATCTCTTTTGGCATTTAAAACATTTTCTCCCCCATGACTGACTTGGATGAAAGACCAACAAGATGAACCCTTCTTTGTATTGCTTGTCCAGCTCTTCCTTTGTACCCATCCTTCCTTCAGCTCTCAGGGAACACAGAAGTGTATTTGTCAGCAGTGGATAGTGAGTGGCCTAAGGTAACCTCAAATTCACGAGCCTCCTGCCTCAGCCTTCCCAGTGCTGGCACTGCAGGCATTTGTCACCCTGTCCAGCTCAGAGTCGTGTTTCTGGTAATAGACTTGTATCCAGAACATATGAAGAACTGTTATAACAAGGTACTTCAACTTTTAATTTTAAAATAATCAAAATGAATAGTTCTCCATCATAATATACAAATGACCAATAAACACACGAAAAGATGTTTATAATTACTAGTGATCAGGGAAATTCAAATCAGAGTAGTACGTCACTTCACACCCACTACGTGTGTCTAAGGTACTTTAAAGACAATAATAAACATTATCAAAGGCATGCCAGGTAGCTCTTCACTGATGAGAATGGAAAACAGCTTATCAGTTTTCCACTTAGCTATGACCCAGTATTTCCACTCCTGCTCATATACCAAAGAAAAACGAAAGCATATGGCAATAGACACAGTTCATATCAGTATTATGTATACTGGCCCAAGAGTGGAAACCACAATGCCCTCTGGTTGGTGAATGGATTAAACTTGTATCCATACAATGGAATTTTATTTACCAATATTAAATGGTAACACATGTTACAGAATAAACGAACAAGATAAGCAGTATGCCAAGGGACAGAAGGCAATCATAAAGGGCAAATGTATTTTGTGACTCTTTTTATGAAGAATTCAGAATAACCAGATCCAAGCTGGACATTGTCTCACATGTGTAATCCCAGAACTTGACAGGATGAGACAGGAGGATTATATCAAGTTTTACATCAGCCTGGCCTACATCACAAGCTCCAATCCAGGCAGGGCTACATAGCAAGACCCTGTGTCAAACAAACCCATAAAGATAGAACGTAAAGCAATTATTGCCAGGCCTTGGTGGGGAGGAATAGAAGGTGCCGTTAATAAGTATAAGGCTTCTTTATGGGGTAGCAAAAGGCCTAAAACTAGAAATGGCGATAATTATACAACTTTGTGAATGTACTGAGAAGCACTGATTGGAGTTTTAAGGGGTGAATTTCATGAAAATTGTATGACAATAATGTTGCCATTTTTAAATCTTAGGTATACCTGCCAATGAGATTCTGATGTGTGAGTTTCTTCTGGTCTCGGGATAGCACTTCCACTGTGGTGTTCCCCAACCAAAAAACAGAATTATAATACTGAAAATATTTTCCAGACTCTGATATCCTGCTCCCCAAGAGCATCCTCTCCTGCGTGAGAATCTCAGGTCAAAATCCATGGCATAAACCAGACAAGGTGGTACCTGTAACCCAGCATTCAGTGGGCACAGGCAACCTGAGCCACATATCAAGACCCTATTTCAAAGTCTCAAAGGCAGGGCTAAGGGGACTAGATGCTCTTTCAGGGGACCTGGATTCAGTTCCCAACATCCACATGGTGGTTCACAACCATCTTTAGTTCCAGTTCTGAGGGAATCTGACACCCTCTGACCTCCGAGGGCACCAGGCGTGCATAAGGATATGTATACATACATGCAGGAAAAACACTCCTAAAATAAATAAATCATAAAAAACATTACAATCTTATAAAAATTTAATTGATAAATGTAATATTAAGATTAGAATCAGGAATATATCTTACAAAAATAATTCAGTTATTATTAGTGGAATGAAGATATTTAAAAATAATAGTGTATCAGAAAGAACAACACTGAACTGAGTTATTATATATCCTGACATTCAAGCCCAAAAACTTACGTGGAGTAGACATTTTTATGAGGATGGGAGTCACAATGTCCTCCAGTTGTTGTTTCTGCTCAAAAAGCTCACTGATGGTAGCTTCTGGATGAGTTTCCAACCACTCGTTCTTCGTACGGCATGCATTGAGGATAGCGTTCTGGGAGCAAAAACAGTGAATTTACTGCCACTTATTTATTGAAAAATAAGACTGCAGTATTGCTGGGATCCGCAGGATAGCTTAGTGGCTAAAGGCACTTCTATCAAACCTGATGCCCTGAGTTTGATACATGGAACCCACACAGTGGAAGGAAGAGAACAGGTTCACCCAAACTGTTCTCTGACCTTAACACATGCACAAGCACACACACACACACACACACACACACAAACACACACACACACACACACACACACAGAGGCACACACAGAGGCACATACACACATACACAATAAATAAATGTAATATTGTCTTTACAAACTGAAGTGTCTCTAAGGCTATGTTATCTGAACCTCATCCAGTAGCCTTTAGGTATATTTACCTCTTGGGTATTTGAAGGCTGGCTGGTGTGACTAAAGAACTAAATTTTAAATCACATTTAATTTTAAATGACTAAAATTGAAATAGCATATGGCTTCTGACTACTGAGCTGTCTAACCATTAGAATGAGAAGTCTTAAAACTCACCATTGAGCATGGAGAAACCTTAAACCAGTCTACCCTTTCTCCCTGATTCTGTTTTTATTGAGCCCTCTTGATGAGAGAAGTGTTTGCAAAAGGTGAAAAATGGGTGGATAGTAGGACTGGAGCTAAGGCTCAGCAGTTAAGAGCACTTGCGGTTCTTGCAGAGAACCAGAGTTCAGTTCCCAGTACTCAAATAGCAGTTTCACAACCATCTGTAACTTCAGTTCCAGGGCATCCTAACCCTCTTCTGGCCTCTATAGGTACTGCACATGCAGTGCACATATGTACATGCTGATAAACACTCATGCATATAAAATAAAAACAAATAAAGCTTTGGAGAAAAGGTGGATGGTATGAGCTACAGGAAACTCGGTAAAAATTGTACTTTACTTCCTTTCAATGGTGTGCAGAAGGAGGAAGTTCAACAAAGTTCTATCAAACCATACACCCACACACATTCCTGGTGTCTACTCAAAAACAGTTCTCACACACGCCTCATATGTACAGACAGAATGTGTCAGCCAGAAAAATTAAAAGTAGGAAAGTGTTTCTTATAGTAAGCTTTATAATAATGAATACAAATTAGCAGCCTGTTGACGTGTATTTTCCATAGTGCTAAATAATAAGCCATAGATACAGAAGCTTGCAAAAGAGACAGATTTGAGAAGTGTCCATAAGATATCCAGAGAGGGAAGAAACAAGTTAATAATAAGAGTAATCTCTATAGTGCGATCACACTTTTTTAGCAATAAGATCTTCTTTACAAACCTCTATTATCTGTGTTTCTATAAATAAAGAGGAAAATATGATGAAAATCATACAAAATTGCTATCAGAACTCCAGGGTAATAAAACTGGAAATGAGAAGGTCATTAAGCTTATTCTAGGTCATTTTTTCTAATTAGTGGGGTGTGCATATTACATTTTCATTGAAATTTAAAGGCTTTTCTAGTCACAGCTGACAAAGCACTGTTCCTTCATGGTGAGAACCATGGAGGTGCAGGTCCAACAACCCGCTCTCATTGAATGTTTTCTGTATTTTCTTTCACAAGACATACTGTAAGGTTGTTTATGAAGATACAAGAACAATGTGTGCCTTAGTGAGATTTGCTGATGCCGTTAAGCAAGAGCTAACTGGGATTTTCATCAAATCATGTCAAAATAAATTCTCATGGATCCTACACAGCAACACAGACAGCAATTAAAGCCATCACATATTTCTAATACCTGGAACATATTTAGTGTTTTGGCACAGGGTCTTGTTAGCTTGTAGCCCTAGCTGGCCTGGTTCTCAGAGTGCAGCCAGTCTTGCCTAGAACTCAAGGTAATCCTCCTGCCTCAGCTTCCCAAATATTGGAACACAGGCTGTCTCTATGCCCAGCTTATTGGGCACAATTTTTTTCTAGTTTTTCGAGACAGGGTTTCTCTGTATTGCTTTGGGAGGTTGTACCGGAACTCACTCTGTAGACCAGGCTATCCTCGAACTCACAGAGATCTGCTGGGCACAATTTTAATGTATATCCAAATCAATATTTTTTCTCATTATGGAAGATTTGATACATGTAATAAATATATACACATTCATATGCACTAAAGTGCATCGTGTATGTTTTATATAGAACTGAATTTCAGAGGAGCATAATATCCCAACAGAAGAATAGAAAATTAACAGCTCCCAATTCCTCCTCACCTCTCACTACCTGCCCCAGAGACAGAAGCATGATGCATGCCTTAAATAGGTATCACTTGGGAGGGGGGGCTTTCTAAAAACCTTTGCAAGTTTTAGTGAGTTGGTTTGTTTTTTTTTCCAGATTTTCACTCAATACAACATTCTAACATTCGCCGATGTGGTCAGGTGCAATATTTTGTGCATCAATTTAAAAATACTGCTTTCAAATATTACTTTGTACCATCTAATCTCTTATCAGAAGTTTACTAGAGAAGGAAGAGAGGGAGGGAAAGGAAGGAGCAGGAGAAGGGCAGGGGAGCACCAGGAGAAACGTCTACCTCTAGAACATCAAGACAGGTAATAATCACAACACAGTACCTTGTCTTCCTTGAGGAGTTTCCCTGGACCCTTTTCTGGGTCAGTAATTATGAGAGAGGACTTTGTAATAAATTTTTTCAGAATCATCCTTGCATCTGAAAGAATGGGACAAAAAAAATAAAATAAAATAAGACAAAAAACAATGGGCAAGCTGCCGTATTTGTGCAGTCCGTCACATAGACAGAACTCAATGAAATTTGTGTACAGGGTCCACTGTTGCTGTCTTGGAGGAATTCAGGAAAACAGCACTCAAGGACACATCACTTCAGAACACTCAGTGTGTCCCTAGAATTATGATAGGAATTTTGAAGACCCAAAGAAATATAAAACATGACACTGGGTCCCAAATCGACCGTATCTGTCAAAATGTTCATCCTGGAGAAAACAGCAACAAGAGAAAAAGATTTCCAGTAGACAGATTGTCACTTGCTTCTATTTTCTTGAGCTTACACACACACACACACACACACACACACACACACACACACAACATGACCTGTTTAAAAGTATACTATACTGAGAGAAATGAAAGCCTTAAATAAATAGAAGAGTTTACCATATTCTTATACTGAATGCTAGAAATTGTAGATTAGTCCCAAATTGCATTAGATATGATTTTTTTAAAAAGTGTTTCCTGTGGCTGCTGTATCAATTACCACAAATCAGGTGGATTAAACAGCTGGAATTCATCCTCTATCAGTTCCAGAGGCCAAATTGCTGAGGCTAGTTCTACTGACCTGCAGGCTCTGAGCAGACACTGATCGTCACCTTTTTCAACTTCCACTGGCTGCCTGTATTCTTTGGCTTATGGCAATTTTTCCATCTTCAAATAATCGTTCTGATCTCTGCTTCTGTCATCAAGTTATCTTCTCTTCTGTGTCAAACCTCCCTCTGTCCTAGCTTATAAAGACACTGACTACATGTGGGTCCAAACTGGACACTCTTCCCCTCAAGGACTGCAAGGATCTGCAACGTCTCTTTTGCTAAATGATGTAATAGTCCCATGTTTCAGGGATCTGAATCTAGATGTTTGTTAGCCATTATCCAGCCCACCACAGCCTTCTCTCTCATCCACTCACAATTCACATGCATCTCACAGGCAATATGCATCTACTCCATCCTAATACCCCCAAAAGCTATGACCAAATCAACTAAAACCCAAATTCTCATCTAAATAATCACAGCTCAGAAGTCTCAAACCTCAAACTCTCAAATATGTGATCTGTCCTAGGCCAAAATTCCTCTCTATCTGTAGATGTGGTGAGCTAGAAACTATCTTCTTTCAAACTCTAGTGGTGGCACAAGCACAGAACACAGGCATAGACACTGCCATTCAAAATAATTCAAATTACAGCATATAAATTCCAGTAGGATTCAGACCTAAGGATGTCTCTCTACCCTGTGGGCCTGTTTCTTTACCTCATGGGCCCAAGGATCCACCCACTAAATCATCTTTCCCTTTTCGTGAGTTATATCGTATAACCCAACCTGGTAGTTCAAAGCTATAATTCTAACACTTAAGAGGCTGAGACTGAGCGGGGCTTTTAATCCCAGCAGAGGCAGGCAGATCTCTGTGAGTTTCAGGCAAACCTGGTCTACAAAGCTACATAGAGAAACCCTGTCTCAAAAAATCAAAAGAGAGAGGGGGAAGAGAGAGAGAGAGAGAGAGAGAGAGAGAGAGAGAGGGGGGGGAGAGGAGAGGGGGGGGGGGGAAAGGGAGAGGGAGAGGGAGAGAGAGACTGAGACTGGAGGATCTCTGGTTTCAAAGCCAGACTGTGTTACATAGGGTTCCAGGACAACCTGGACTTCATAGTGAGACCCTGGCTCAGGAGGAGGTGGAAAATGAGGAGAAGGAATGAAGGAAGTGAGGGAAAAAAAATGTGTCCTAGCAGTTGAATAGCTTTATTAATCTGTTCCTGTCTACAAAATTTTGGTAGACCAGTACTCTTTTTTTTTTATTTTGTCTTCTTTGTCCCTTTATTTAAAAATGGTGTTTCTACCAATGTAACACTCTCAAAATCCTTTTGAGACTCCCTGCATATCACAGAGATTCATCCAGTCAGAAAGAGGCTCCTCCTAGTCTTTTGTGGATAATTTAATGTCCATCCTGACTTCTGCAGAAATGGCTGGAGAATGCATGATCCATAATCCCCAATAATTCAGCAGCAAAAAGCTGCCCATCCATATTGATGTCTTTCCCTCCAAAGCTTATTTTCTTGACGGGGACTCTTAATACTTAGTACCTGTGCTATTAATAGACTTTCTGTCACTGTAATAAAATGACTGAAATAAGAAACTTATAAAGAGATAGGGTTTACTTTGGCTCAAGTGTCAGGTTTCCATCTCTGGGTAGTCAGTCCTATTGCTTTGGGCCTGTGGCACCATAGCATTATAACAGGGAGGGTATGAAAACAAAGAACTTGTGATCAAAAACCAATGCAAAGGACAGGAAGGGGCTGAGATCCCCCCAGTCCCTTAAAGGGCCCATCTCCAGTGACCAGACCTCCCACTAGGTCCCACCTCTCAAAGTCTCCAGTGATTCCCAATAAGCACCAAATTGAGGAGAATGCCTTTGGGTGAGGGGGCTTTGGGGGACCACATTTTAAACCACAGCAGCTTGTCTTGTGATCTTCATTGCTGCATTCCCACACTGCCAAGCTCTGCTCCCCTTTTGCTTGACAGTTCTTTCAGTAATTTATCCCATTCCTTTCACATTTTACAACAGACAGTAAGAGAAAGGCCAGTCATGCCTTCAATGTTTTGTATGGAAATCTTCTCATCTAAACATCCTAGTTCTCCCTCTCACAGTCTGCTTTCCATAGAACAGCAGGATCCAAAGCAACCAATCTTTCTGTTGCTTCATAGCAAGACTTCACTACCTTTGGGTTTTTTGTTTGTTTGTCTGTTTTCATGAGGTTTTATTATTATGATTGCATGCCTATTGCTAAATATGTTCCCTGGCAGACTATTCACTTTCAAGAAACCAGGCGTGATTAGCTGGGTGCAGCTTTTCATCCCAGTGCATTTTTAAATGATGTCACTGAACTTACCCCTGAGTCACTATGACTGACGATGTAACAATGATCATCCCTGTGTATTTTTCTAGGTGTGCTGGGCTGCCTAACAGGATTATCTGACAGGCCTTGACAGAAGCACCACATTAACCAGTGCTTGGGGCATTTTCTGCCTTGTCTGACCAATTTTTTAGCTTAAGATTTTCTTCTCAGTTAAGACTAAAACATGTCTAACCAAAGACTATCTGTGCTTTCTCCCCTGCTGTTCTTCTGTTTCTTCAGAGAGAGTTTCTGCATTTGTGATGGGACAACCTGGACAAAGGTCGGATGGGAGATTCTTCCAGAGGAAGTGCACTACCTGAAAGTTAAGGCTTCCCCATCCCACTGTCTACCTTACCCTCTGGACAAACTCTGCTGCAACTTTGCTAACATGGATCTAATCCAGGGTTCCTTACGCCTCACGTACATCCTAGTGCAAGCTCTCTTCTTAATCCTGCTTGTCTTATCTGTGCATTACCTATGGATGAAATGGACCAAACACCAAAAAAAGGTGAATTTATGATGCCAATAGGAGTTGTAGGATCTCAAAGAAGGGCAAGGTTACCCAGTTCTCTGAAGTTACCCTCCCTGCTCCCCACTCCCTATCGCAGTGTCAGGCACACTCTTAAGAGTTCCACAGAGGCATGTTTAATCAGAAGGTCTTTAAATCATCTCCTCCAACTCCTACTTTCAAGTTACAAAACACATCAAAACATTGAGATACGGTAGGTGGGGTTATAGGAAGTGAGGTTACTTGTCCTTCAGTAAGTCATGTGCTCTTTCTCAGCCTCCTCATAAAATGATCTGAAATAAGGGGGCCTATTGAAGAACCTGAGAGTCTATCAAAGAAAGCTCACTACAAAAGTTGACATGAGCTTCCCAAGGGGCTGTAAATGAACTAATTTCTAAATGTTAGATCTTAGTGGGAAACGGTTCTCCATTCCCAATTTTGTCAATAGATGGCACTATAATTTGAGACAAGAATGCTGCTATGTGTGCACACATGCTTCCTTGACCTTCAAAGTGACCTAAATATGTGTTTTCTTGTTTTTAAAATATTTCTGTATTAGACAGTGATCTTGCTTAGTAAGGGAAAATATTTTTCTTCTGTTTGTTTGGTTCTGGGAATTAAACTCAGGGCCTCCTACATCCTAGGCAAGCTCTCAACAGCTTACTGAGCTGTGTCCCCAACCCCTAACAACAATCTTAAAGGCTCATTTAATGTCCCAGTTATCACTGAGAAGTTTTATTCAAGTCAACCTTCCAGGAACCATGCACTTAAGGAAAACTAGCTCTCCCTTCCCCCGAAATCGTCAATTGTCTATAGTTCCTAATTTAGGGGTGAGGGCTTATGATCCCATTCCCACTCCACCTTGTGCAGGCAATCACAAGTGCTGTAAAGTTCATGAGTGCAGAATTCCTGTCCAGGTCAGAAAATACTGTTTTGCTCTAGTCCTCTCTGGCCTCTGGCTCCTTCAAATTTTCTGCCCCTCTCTTCCATGATGCCTAAGGGGACAGGTGTGATATAGATGTCACATTTATGTCTAGGCACTGCACAGCCATTTATTCTCTGCACTTGGACCAGTCGTAAGTTGCTGCATGAACTACCATCCACTGCACAAAGAAATTTCTCTGATGAGGTCAGAGAGTTGCACTAACCTACATGTAGGAGACCCAAATTTAGAGTGCAGTTTGGTACTATGCCCATTTAGCAAAACAATATTTGTAGGTTCACCAATGGGACCTGTGAGCTCTACCCTCATGGGTTCTTGGCTATACATGCAGTGCCAGGCATGTGTTTCCTCCTGTGGAGCAGGCCTTAAATCCAATGAGAAAGCACTTGGCTACCCTTGTGATTTGTGTGCCACCATTACACCCATGAACACATCTTGCTATGCTAGTCACTACTGCAGTTCACAGGGTTGACAGCTGGGTAAGTCAGCAGGGAGGAAGTCATCAGGTTAGCACTGACTCAATTGCTCCACGTCCTGAAGGAAAACATCCTAATTTCTCTTGGCGAAATGATCTCACCCTAGAAAACACTAACCAATGTTTGCTGGAGCTGACAACGATCGATCTAGTCTTGCGTTGCACATTAAAGAGCATCGTTTCTGTCCTCCAGTCTTCTATAGGAACCTATGTTCTATGTGAACAGCTTAGCAGTCTTTAAGTTTGCTTATCCAGAATATGTTTACTTTGAAATAAGACAAAGCTCATTTGTTTTGCTCTTACAGCTGAAAAAGCAACCCCCTTTAGAGAAACACAGCAGTGACCTGGAGAGCCCATCCATCTACGACATTGAACAAATACTCTGCAGACTACTGACCACAACATCCATGATGACCAAGTTTCTGAAGCAGGTGTCTCAACATTCTTCCTTTAAGAAATTTAAGCAACAACGTAAACTAAAGAAGATGAAGAGTAAAGGAGAACAGGAGCCAGAGGACATGCCATCTAAGGACATGCAAATGTAGCTCAGTCAAGGGCAGAAGAAATCTATTTCCAGGACTGTCTGAGGATGAAAGGTTTCTCTGGGAGCTGGTGTAGGGTTCTTTTGTTTCCACCACCCTTAGTGGAAAATTTTCAGACAAGTCTGGCTTTCCACTCAACTGAAAAAGAATCCACACTTAGTAATGTGGCTCCCAGAATAAAATGAAAACACCTTAACCTGACATATAAGGGTATAATCCGGTGATAATTATAGCAGCAGCATTTTTTTTTCAGCCTGACAATTTTTTTTTTTAACATGACAGGTAGTTGCTATGTGCTTTACACTGCATCATTTAGCTTTCATAAGTCTCAAGAGGAAGGATCCATTATTGGCCTCTCTTTCCAGAAAAGGAAACTTGGGTGCAAAGAACTGGAGTACTCTGCTCACACTCATATAGGATTCAAACCAGAACATCCTCTAGGGACCGTGTACTCACCCCTTCCACCTACACTCTCAATTGTCTGTGGAAGCTATGGCATAGGCTCCAGTAAGGCAATCTTGTCACTTTCATTCCCAGATCTAACATTCCATTTACGTGCTTAGTTCTGCTACTATGTATTCAAGTCCCATTCATTTGGTAAGGCCTAGGTGAACCCCAGCCAGCTGGCTTTCTTCCTCTATCTTAGGGCATGGACTGCCTTTCCTGTCATTTTACCTTCAACCTTTCTCTTTATACTCACATCTTTCTGATACTGTTAAATAATTGCCAAATGATTTCTAGATTGTTCCTCCAAAAAAAAAAAGTCCAGATGGCAGAAACAGCCAGCTGTGCCTACAACAGTATTAGCATATTAAATCGTGGGCATTCCATAAAGGCTTGCTCAGCACGTGATAACCATATCAAACGGTTTGAAGTTTATAAGCCCACACGGCAAGTCACACAGATGTATCTTCCTAAAGGCTCTTCAAGCTGTATTTTACAGATATTGAGAATTATAGAGAAAAATGTGAGCAAAATTCAAGGTAGCACATAGATTTTTGGACTCTGTTGAAATAGAATATGCATAAAAGACATAAAAATGTTTAATTGTACATCTCAATGAAATTCCATTAAAAAATATTCATGTAACCAGGGGCCAAACTCAGAAGAATAACAAGTCTCAGAAGTTCTTCCATGCAATAGGGTAATTGTGATTTGGGTTACTAACACCATAGGTTAACTTTTCCTAGGAAAATATTTTTTTAATCATCAATAACAATTTTTCTCTCTGGGGGGCAAATATATTACTGAAATATGCTAATATTTAAACATTTAAGAAATAGTGTATTTTGCCTGGGTCTTTCAGAAAACAACCTTGAATATATACTGCTTGTATCATCCCATGGAAATTTATTACTTAAATTGTTAGAAGTTGGTAAATCAACAAGATCACACACACAAAGTCTCTCAGAAAAGAACCTTGAACATATATTATATATATAATCTCATAGAACTGTATTGCTTAAATTGTTAGAAGCTGGTAAACCAATAAGACATAGAGAGAAAGAGGGAGGGAGAGAGAGAAGAGAGGGAGAGAGAGTTATAATTAAGAGCAATGCTTTATGGTCAATAGCAAAGTGAAAGAGAAAAGAAAAAATGAAGGCAATCTTCATAGATTGACAACAGAAAATACAGCATCTAGCTGGAAGGTAGAAATGTAAAGCATCTCATTCCATGGCCTCAATCATCTTAGCATTGCTTGGGCTCCTTACCTGCCCAGTCCAGAAAATGAACACACTCAGTCTGAGAATATCGATCAGCAACGTCTCGAGCTTTCTCTCCCCGGAAGTTCAAAGCCTCTATATCAACATCCAGTTCCACCAGGGCCTTCAAAGTTTCCAGGCGGCCCCAGGCTGCAGCACAGTGTAAGAGTGTGTAGCCTATCAGAGTAAAGATGGTCAGGTTAAACAGACTTAGGAGGGCTTGACAGGAGTCTTTAACTGTACGATGGTAGAAAAGGCATTCACATTCTGCAGAAAGCACACTTGAAACTTTGATTTTAGTCTTTTCCAAGGCTAGCAATATGTATTCCAATACTCTGATACACTGACGCTGCACAGCTACAGTGAGTAGCAGCTCCCAGGCAGTCATGTAATCACAGGATAAACAGCTCCCAGGCATGTTCTCTGGTTTACAGGGTTGCTATACTATGATGATCAGGCTAGCTATGTTAAATGCATGCTTCTGCTTACTGTACTTTATAATGGGTCCATGGAGATATGGCTTTATCACAAGTTAAGGTACATCTTTGTGTTATTCCAGACTATTTTATATAACAGATCATAACCATAATCAAGTACCAATTACTATGAGTCAGGCACTAAGTGTTCTGTATAGTAAATTCATTGAATTTTAGAGACCCTATAGCATCAGAATTATTATAATCCTCATCTTACAGACAAGGAAACTAAAAGTCAGAGATGCTCAGAAACTTGGCACAAGGAACACGGTCAATAAAATGATGGATGCAAGATACCAGCGCTGGCAGCCTAACTCCTGAGCTCCTGCACAGCTGAAAGACGGCAACCTCTCTAGCAATCGTCCACTTTGGAACTACCACCCTATTTGACTTTAAGGAATTTTCATCATACTCTGACTACCTCTCTTTAATGTTAATCTAAATCATTATCACTGTGTATGCTTTGGTTTGCAAATCAATCTTTTGAATTAAAGCTGAAAGTATGACTTGCCGAATTAGAATAAAAGCAGTTTCTTGAACTTAACTGAGGTACGGCAGTAAAGGTGGAAATACGGTGCACCTTCAAGAGTTTTCCCCACTGATTTGTATAAAAATCAAAGATCACAGTCGTTGTTCTATTGTTTTGAGAGGCCTCAGTTAAGCCGGGGAGCCAGGGCTAAGGACACAGCTTTGTGACATAGCTCTTGCCTAACATGCCCAAGGTCCTAGGTTCTAGAAAGCAATTATAAATTATCTCAATTGGGGTTCCAACACCAAAGCTTAGTATCAGGCCTTACTATAGAAGACCTTAGGAGTTGGGGGCTCACAGTGTACCTTTCACAAGCCCCACACTATTCACAACCAGAAAGTCCCTGACACGGGGAACATGTACACTGGTGGGTGACCTGGGTTTTCATTTGACCCATATCCAGTGTCTACCTGGCCAACCCTTGTCTTAAGAACCCAACCTTTCCAGCCAGAGCTGTTACACAGAGAAACCCTGTCTTGGAAAAAAGAACCCAACCTTTCATTCTCGAAGCATGCAGGAAAACTCTGGCTTTAGGTAGCCTCTGTTTTGTCAGAAGTTGCAGATTCTAAAGACCAGTACATTATCAGGGAAAGTAAAACACTTTTACTTTCAGAACCTGGCTAAGGGAAAGTGTGAGTCCGTCCTTTGTTCACATGTCACTCAAAAGTGTAGCAACTGGTGACATATATAAGGAGATAGATTGTTGTTGGGGACCAAGAAAGTTCCATTATGGAATGTCTTAAGGTCCAGCCTTTGGTTTCAGTAAACAGGAGCACCCAGGAGCTCCGGCCCACTATTGTATTGCTAATGCAAGCAGGTCTGCTATTGTATAGCACAGTCTCAGTGTAGAATGCCTCCTAGTTTGCATCTCTACAGGACTAAGCGTTTGAATAGGCCTGCACCTGGGTGGGAGGTTAGGTGTGTGAGTAACAAGTGAGGACAGAGAGTTAGGAGCTAGCGACCAGGGACCAGGGAGAGGAAGGAGACAGAAATAGCCTTGTGGCTTTGGAATCATGGTTAGAAAACAGCCAGGAAGATGCTCAATAAACAAGAGACTCCAGTTTTACAGCATGGAACTGAGAGCTCTCTAAAGATGACAAGATGCCTTTGTTTGATCTTTATCGTCATTGGGTTGCTAGGAGTTTCCAAGTCCACACACCCCCACTCAGGCCGAACCTCATGGCTTCTGTGCTTGGGGCTGAGACATGCCGGGCCACGACAGATTGTAACTTTCAACTTGTGGCAAATAGTTTGTAACTTTAAACTTGTGGCAAATTCCAGAATGGTTCATTTAAAGAAACACACACACACACACACACACACACACACACACACACACACACACACACATGCACTCGCGCACACACATGCATGCACACTGCTGGCAGAGGAGATGTTGCTAAACTCTCCTCTCTGGCCACAAGCCTGAGCCATTGGGATGTGGTGTAGACCTGGTACCCAGGGTGACTGAGTCATGCTTCTGGTATGAGAAATTTCAAAAGAGACCTAAGTCGATATAAATTGTAACAATTCACTACACTTACCCCTAAGAATAGACTTAATGACTCCCTTAAATAGCCAAAGAGGCAAAAAGATCTGAGCAAGAATTAATGTGTTGACAACTCCAGAGAAGCTAGGAAACAAGGAGGACTATAAGTGAGACATACACGGTCCCCCAGTGAAGCAAAAAGGGACAAGAGCCCCTAAACAAATGGGGAGCATGGGGGAGGGGGAGGAAGGTAGGAGAAAGGAAGGGAGAAGAGGAGGGGGAGGAGAACATGAAAGATCAGGAAGATTGAGTGGGGGATGAATAGAGGAGAGCAAGGAAAGAGACACATCAGTAGAGGGAGCCACTGTAGGTTTAAAGAGAAATCTGGCACTAGGGAATTGTACAGAGATCCATAAGGATGACCCCAACTAGCAACCTAAGCAATAGTGGAGAGGCTACTTTAAATGCCCTTCCTCTATAATGAGAAAGATGACTACCCTAAATGCCATCCTAGGGCCTTCATCCAGTAGCTGATGGAAACAGAAGCAGAGAGCCACAGTCAAGCACTGAGCCAAACTACTGGAATCCAGTTTCAGAGAGTGAGGAGTGAGCAACAAAGGGGCCAAGACCATGCTGGGAAAACCCACAGAAACAGCTGACCTGAGCAACTGGGAACTCCTGGACCCCAGTCTGACAGTTGGGGAACCAATATAGGACCAAACCAGGCCCCCTGGAATGCGGGTGTCAGTTAAAAGCACTGGGCAGTCTATGGGGCCTCTGGCCGTGGAACCAGAACGAACGAACTTCGGGAACCCATTACTCTCTTAGCCAGGATACACAGGGGAGCGCCTAGGTCCTGCCCCAAACGACTTGACAGATTTTAATGATCCCTCATGGAAGGCCTCACCCTCCCTGGAAAGTGGATGGAGAATGGAATGGGGGCGTCCATTGGGGAGTATGGGAATATGGGAGGAAGAGGGAACTGGGATTGATATGTAAAATAAGATTGTTTCTAATTTAAATAATATATATATATAAAGAATTAATATGTTGAAACTATTATATACCAGGGCTCTGTATGTCCTTCATTTAATCACTGCAACAGCCCTATAAGGAAGATATTAGCTTCATTACAGTATATAATGGGAAGAAAAGGTCAGCAAGTCAAAATTTTCCCAAGGCCATACTGTAGTACAGAGCCAAAGTAAGATTAAAACCTGGGCATGTGTTCATATAGAGTTTATAAAGAAAAGAAACACCCATGTGCTACTCTCTGGATGAGATAGGAAAAAAGAAGATACAATAGTGACTCTACTTCCTCCAGAAACCTCTTGGTTCCCTATTCACCAGAGTGTCATAACCCTAGGTTTACCTGAGATCAACTTGTAAACCATCATGACCAGAAGGGACAATCAAATGTTAATAATGAGTCCAAAGTGATCTGGTCTATAGAGTAAGTTTCAGAATAGTCAAAACTACATGGTGAGACCTTGTCTAAAAAAAATCTACTTTGTGTGGTGGCACACGCCTTTAGTCCTAGCACTTGGGAGGCAGAGACAGATCTCTGTGAGGACAACCAGAGCCACATAGTGAGGAAAAACAAAAAAAGATCGAAAGTGAATTACTTTCAGCTCTGCCCAAAATTGGAACTCTTTGGCATCCCTCAATTTTTTAACATCACAATAAGAAAAATATTTAAGATCTTTAAGAGCCAAGAGCCTGGCTCCAGTATTGTATGATGTCTTTATTCTTGACAATCTTAATCTGTTATAAAATACCACTGTCTGTGTAAATTAAAACAGAATTTATCTCTCACAATGTTGAGGTGTGAGAAGTCCCAGGGCAGAGCGTTGGTGTGGACCTTGCTAAGCCCTCACACAGTGGGAAAGAGGAGAATGATGCTCTCACAGCCCTTTGGTACAGTGGCATTAGTCCACTGTTTACCCGTAAGAGATCCTCGTGACCTAAACACTTCTCACAAGGACTGACTTCCCAACATTCCCGAATTGGCTTTCATTTCCAACACACAAATTTTGTAGGGAACACACTCAGACCACAGATTACAAACTGAGAGTCAAGATGTATCTAGATACCACCCTTGTTATTCCTGCCATCAGCCTGAAGTGGAAATCTTCCTATTAGCTGAATGGTCCAGGGTCCCTGATTTACTCGGAGAAAGACACTCTCTATAGACAAGGCACTGTTAGTATGACTGAGAATCCAGTCTACCTGGGAGATAAGCTGGATCGTGCACTGCTTTTCTCAAAGCTGAAATACTAATTCAAGGTGTCATCTACTCATTAAATTCACTGTGACACTGAAAATTAGGGGTGAAGGGGGATGTATATTTTAATACAATCAGTTTAAAATAAAAGCATTTTAAACAAACTTTTGCCAAGGAATTTTCAACCTCAATTCTTTGCCGGGAATAGTCCATTTTGTAACACCAGCACCATTCCAAAAGAAGAAAATCCTCTAAACATTATTTCAGGCCCAGCATATATGAAAGTGCGTGCTTCCTGACTCAGTCTAACAACCTGAGTTTGATCCACAGAATTCACATAGTAGAACAGATTCCTCCATACATGTACCATAGCACACACGTGTGTGCACGTGTTGTACACACATGCACATATGTGCACAGACACACATGCATGCACACACACACATGTACATGCGTGCAAATACACATGCCTGCACACACACGTAAAATAATTTTTTAAATTAAAAGTCCAGAAAACATACAAAATTATCAAGAAAAACACCTTACTGACTTGCTGACAGACTAATTTGGTGGAGGCACTTAATCAATTGAAGTTCCTCTTTCCCAGATGATCCTAGTTTGTGTCAAGTTCATGAAAATCTAACCAAAACAGGAGTTCACAGTGAGCCAAAAGGTCCGACAAGAAGAAAAGCAATCTCCCCATCTACACAGGCTTTGTTCTGTGAACCTCACAAGGACCAGTACATTTAGACCTCTTCCTCATCCTGACCTAGCTCTGGGGACTGGCCTTTCTCCCAACTATATATAAGGAAACTGAAACACAAAAGGCTGCTTCTAATTATAGAGTGTTCCAATGATAAGTTCAACTCTAAGAACTGAAATGATGAAAGGCAAGAACAGAGAAAGAAACCATTTCTACAACTGAAAAGACAATGACAAACATACAAAATAAAGTGAAATGGGACTGGAGAGATAGTTCACAAGCTAAGAACTAGTACGGTTCTTGCAGAGGACCCTAGTTTCATTTCCAATGTCCAGGTCAGGAAGCTCACAACTACTTGTAACTCCAATTCCAGGGGATCTGGTGCCTCTTCTGGCCTGCACAGGCAACTGCACTCATGTGCACAAACTAGACACAGACACACACAGACACAGACACAGACACACACACAGACACAGACACACACAACACACACACACACACACACACACACACACACACACACACACACACACACACACACAGAGTAAAAAATAAATCTTTCTAAAAGGAGAAAATATAAAGCTTAGCAATAGGATAGACTATCTTAGGGTTACGATAGCTGTGATTGAACACCATGACCAAAGCAACTTGGGGAGGAAAGGGTTTATTTGCCTTACATTTTCATATCATTGTTCATCATTGAAGGAAGTCAGAACAGGAACTCAAACAGGGCAGGATCCTAGAGGCAGGAGCTGGTGTAGAGGCCTTGGAGGGATGCTGCTTACTGGCTTGTTCCTCATGACTTGCTCAGCCTGCTTTCTTATAGAACTCAGGCCTACTAGCCCAGGGATGACACCACAATGGGCTGGGCCCTCCCCCATTGATCACTAATTAAGAAGATGCCTTACAGGTTTGCCTATAACCTAATATTGTGGAATCATTTTCTTAAGTGAGGTTCCCTCCCTAGGATGACTTTAGCTTGTATCAAGTTGACATAAAACTATCCAACACATAGATTTTCAAAGACACTATAACAGAAAAGAACAAAGGATATGCAAAACAAACAGAAAACAACCAAATGACAAGAGTAGATAGTTATGTACTGATAATAACCTTTAATGAAAATGGCTCATAGTCCCTAGTTTAAAAATACAAATAAAAGGCAGGGAAAAGAAGAAACAACACCCACTGTATGCTGCCTACAACAAACTCACCCTGAAAATAAGACATATAGACTAGACAGTAAAAGATAGAAAAGAGAGATTTCCTACAAATAGAAAACAATACCAAGCAAAAGTAGCAATATTTGTCAGATAAAAACCCAGGTTTTTAATAGTCAACTTACAATTATCAAAATGATTATGATAGGATTAGCTTATGAAGAAAATGAGGGCTTAATTTGGGCTCAATTTTGGAGGTTCTTCTAGTGTGCAATGAAGGGCTGGCAAGATGGATCAGCAGGTAAAGGTACTTGAAGCACAATTCTGATGACATGAGTTCAATCCCCAGAACCCACATAAAGGTGAAAGAAGAAAACCAACTTCAGTGTTGTGCTGACCCCAATAGGTGCATTGTATATACTGAAAGTGCACACTACCAACTGAGCTACTGACAAATCCCTGACTGCTTAATCTTTTAGGGTAGGGCATTACACTAGTTTTTTTTTTTTTCTTCTAACTTCATAGCCAATCTTTCATTCAAGGCAGAAACACAATTGGCCAATAAGTTTGGGCTTAAGAAAAATGAATTTAAACTGGGTGATGACGGAGCACACCTTTAATGCCAGGACTTGGGAGGCAGAGGCAGACAGGTCTCTTGAGTTCAAGGCCAACCTGATCTACAGAGTGAGTTCCAGGACAGCCAGGACTGTTACACAGAAAAACCACCCTGTCTCAAGAAAACAAAAACAAAAACAAAAAACAAACAAACAAAAAAACCTTTGTTTTAATGAAAAAAATAAAATTTTTTGAAATAGTTATGTAACAAAGCAGGCACATCACACTTATCCGATCACAGAGACTGCGAGATGCATCTTTAGGTGGTCACAAATGATAAATGATGAAAGATGAAATACCTCTGGCGGTTTTTTCGTTCAGATTCACCCCATACTTTGCCAAGGCTCTAATTACATCACTTTTCCCAGCCATGCAAGCTGCATACAACAGGTTTCTCCCAACAATGTCTTCTTCCAGAAGCAGCTGCATAGCATGCTCATGGTGGGGATGTTCAGGATCCTCGAAAATCTTCTGCAAACCTTCTACATCCCCCCTGAGAGCTGGCTGCAAGAGGGGGTTCTCCAAGCCTCTTTCCTCTGCTTCTTGGGATTCTTCATATTCTTCCTGGGAGGAAACTACTGACTTTTCTGAACCCTCTGGTTCTGGAATTCCTTCTAGCTCCATTCACTCCAAAAAATACCTGGCACCAAAGGAAAATAATAGGTAATTCAAACATACCAGTATTTATTTCTTTACTTTTTATTGAGACAGAGTCTCACTATGTAGTTCTGGCTGACCTGAACCTGATCTGTAAGCCAGCTGGCTTTGAACTCACCAAGATCTACCTACTTCTGCTTCCCAAGTGCTGAGATTAAAGGCAACATGTGCCACCATACCAGGCTAATTATCTTTAATCAGTTCACTGACAATATAAATGAAACAAAAATATGTACTTGAAAATAAATAACTGAAATATTTAGTCATTCAATCAATAAAATCTACAATGAGTAAACACGTGGCCTCAGTATATGATAAAATATTAAATATATAATACAAAAGATATATTAAATAGGAACAGACAAAAGACCAAAGTCAACTAAATTCATTAGGAAAGAATCAAAAGAGAATTGTTAAATTTATCTGCCTAAAAATGATCCTTGTTAGGGAGAAATAACAAATATAATTAGATTATTAGAGCCAAATTATAAAAACTTCAAAAATTAGGCACTAGCTTTTAAACAGAATCCATTCAAACAGAATATATTCACCTATTACTATCTATTGAAAATTTATCACTGTTATTTAAATGTTCATATATATTATATAAATTAAAAACTCATGTTTTGTTTTGTTTTGTTTTGAGATCAAGTCTTACTATGTAGCCCTGGATGACCTGAAACTTGCTGTGTAGACCAGTATGACCTGGGATTTGCAGTGATCCTACTGTTTCCACATCTCTGGTGCTGGGATTACAGGTGTGAACTACTACACCCAGCTTAAAATGAACAAGTTTATCTTCTTCCCTCAACAATCTACTGTACACACAGAAGAAAATATGACATAAACAAAATATATGTTATAAAATGTGACAAGTGGTAAGTGCCATAACATTTGAAATTCTATGGACTTTAGAATTGATTACAGTCAGTTAAGGAAATCTTAACAGGGCTCACTCTGATGGAAGGTATATCAACCCGGGAATGACTCAGGGAAGAGAATTATGGTTCCCCATACACACCAAATGTTATGACATTATACCAAACGTTATGGCATCACTATGTACTCAAACAGCAAAATCCTTAAGGGGAAAACCATGCCCAGAAACAGGAGAGATGACTCAGCAGTCAGGAGTGCTTACTGCTATTGCAGAGAGGCCACAGGTTTGGTCCCCAGCACCTGCATGGCAGCTTACAACCACCCACAACTCCAGTTCCAGGGGATCCAACACATTCTTCTGGATGTTTTGGGCTCCTGCATATTCCTGGTGTATATAAACTTATGCAGGCTTGCATACACACATATAAATAAAATAACTATTTTTAAATAAAAAGTAAAGGTAACAATTGAATAGGATGAATCACAGCAGTATACAATGTGACAATATGCTTCTGCTGTGGTTCACAGTACCCCCTGCCTCCAGATGTCCATGCCTTTGTGAATTCCATCACCTTTCAGCATGGACTTCACATAGCTTCTAATGAAAAGATATGGCAGCAAGCATGGTATGCTAACGTTATGATGGAATCCAATATACAGTGGCTTATATTTTCTTCCTAGCTCTCCTCACATGGTAGAAAGAGCCACCTTTCAAGAAACAGAAGACAAACCCTGGCAACAACTGGCAAGAAGAGAGGTCCTTAGCTAAGAGGCCTATGATGAGTTTAATTCTGCCAAAATCATTTTGACACACGCTGGGAGGCAGAAGCAGATGGATCTCTGTGAGTTTGAGATCAGTCTAGTCTACAAAGCAAGTTCCAGGACACGAAGGGCTGTTACACAAAGAAACCCTGTCCCAAAAAAACATAAATAAATAAATAAATAAATAAATAAACAAACAAACAAATTAACCAGCTTATTGGAAATGAGCATTTGGTATATGCATAAAGACAGGCTAAGACTGCAGCAAGAAGTCTGAACTTGATTCTGTAGGCAACTGTCAGGTCGATGTTGAAGGCATCAGTGCTGGGAACTAAGTATATTTCAATAAAAATTGATCCAACAAACCTAGCTATGCAGTTGACAAATCAGAGAGGAAATTGCCAAAGCCAAATATATATATATATATATATATATGTATATATATATATATATATGGCAAATTATGCCATTACTGCAAGTTCAAACTAATGAGAGCAAGGGTCCCTCATCTAAGTCAGTGCCTGTTACATTTCTTCCAGTACAAATTTCCCCCAATTATGATGCTTATGGATTTGGGCAAGAAACAAGAAAAACAAATGAGACCATTTTAGAATGTGATACGGTAATAAGTATGATGAAGAATTTAAAAAAAAAACAGGGAAGGAAAGAGGAGAGAGAAAATTTAAAATAGGAGGGGTAAGAAGAGGAGACTGACACAGGACTGCAGAGGGTACATTCCAAAGCAGGGGTCAAGGGCCAGGTGGCACCTATTTAGGCGTGTGTGATACTGTTTGTGTATTACACGGTCACTCCCTTTGTAGCAGGGGAGTAATCACAGGAATCACACACATGGATGGCTATAGCTGTCGCTAAAATATTTGCAAAATGGGTATCAGCCCACATACCTAATAATATGTAACACAAGCTTGGCATGGAGAGGGGAGAGAGGAGAGACTGTGAAGGCAAAACACCACTGATTTAATCCTCTTGATTTAATTGAATTTTCTAGAATGAGGATAAACCTGCTCTAACTTACTAAATGGCTCTGAGAAGTCTAGAAACTTATCGACTACACAGCAGGAACATTTAAAGGCTGCAAAGTACCAAAAATAGAAAATTACACAAGTCTGGTTGCCAACCCACAGTCTAATGAGCAATCGTAGAGATAAAGGACGTAAGGGCTGTAGGCTGAGCTTATTCTAACTGTAAAGAGGGCAGGCAGCAACAACAGATTGGGAGAAGGTTCCAGAGGACTTTACTATAAACAAAGGGCAGGGAGGCAGATGAGGCTGCCCAAAGTTGTAGTGGAGTCGACCCTGGAGGTTCTTTTAGCCAACGGAATTCTTTCTTCAAATTTTTTTTTCTTCAAAAAAAAAGGGGGGGGGAATAAATAAATGTCTCTTGAGGTTTTTAAAGTCCAGCTCACAGAGGAGCCGGCTCCTCATCCCGTAAAGTCAGCTCTGAGCGCCTAGAAATTCAATCAAGAATGAAGGCCTGGGGATCCCACACACGGAATGTCCGCCTTGCTACGATAACCAGGTCACGTGGAAAGAGCACGGGGGTTCCCTGAGGGGCTTAAGAGTTCTCCCTTCCGCCCTTCTGCTGGCCCTCCGGCAGCGGCAGCGGCGGGATGCTCAAAGTCGGGCAAGATGCGATGCGCAAAGCCCATGGGAGGGAGACACAGGCTTAGGACACCTTAGTTGACGCCCATCCCGGCAGTCCCTACCCCAGCAGGCAGTCCCTACCCCAGCAACCTGTAGGGATGAGGCGGGTCTATCCTGCCCCATCGCCCCCCAATCGCCCTCAGGACCTCAGGGCCTGGACTCCTACTCACCTCTCCTAAGGCCCAGGCTTCCGTGGTTACCACGACGACGGCGTACTTCGCGCAGCCGCGCCTCACCAGCGCCTAGGTTCTAGCTGTGCGGGAAGGTCAGGGATGCAAAGCTTAGAGGAATTCTGCTTAGTAACGAAAATCTGTGTTCCGATGGTGGCATGCAGGTGTTTTATTTTGTAAAATTTTTCTGTAATAGGTCTGTATTTAACAATTTTAAAACTATAATAAAAATGAAGTGTGGGCATGTTCATTGATGTCTTGTTTTGGTCCCCTCTTTTGCCTTTAAATGGATATCTTTCTGGAAATATGAGGATGAATCCTATTTTTAAAATCCAACCAGACACCTCGCTTAATTTCCTAGTTATTTGCAGACTTTACATCGTTAAAGTTCGTGTCACCTAGACTGTCTCCTGACCACTCACAAATGCCGACTAGGTAGGAGCAGAAGGAACTTGAAGTTAGATGTGTTAGATTCTTTTTTTTTATCCAGAAATTTAAAATCCAGAACAGCTCTGGGGGTGAGGATGGCCAGGGGGAAACTGGAGAAAAACCAGCGAGAGATTACCACTGTAATTGTTAAGTAATACACGTGTTCACGTGCTTTGGCAGAGAGAAAACCAGGAAGTCTTTGTTCTGAAGTCAAGTGTGAAGGGAAATATCATTCTGTTTCTACAATGAAATCGTTTTAAAAAGGAGGTGATATTCCAGAAGGGCTCATCATTTGAGCTGAAGATGAATACCTGTTCAAAAATCAACATTGGAAAAATAGCTTAGTGGTTAAGAGTGCATACTCTTACAGTTCGATTCCAACATCCACACCAAGCAGCTTACAAGGTCCTCGAGCTCCAGAGGAAGCCAACACCCCTCTGACCTCCAAATATACATATATACACACACATGAATACACATACGCAAAGATAGATAGATAGATAGATAGATAGATAGATAGATAGATAGATGAAAGAATGTGGTGCATGACTTCAATCCCAGCACTCGGGAGGTAGAGGCAGGCAGATCTCTGTGAGTTCAAGGCCAGTCTAGTCTACAGAGTGAGTTCCAGGACAGCCAGGGCGGTTACACAGAGAAACCCTGCCTTTAAGAAACATAAATAAATAAATAAATAAATAAATAAATAAATATTAAATAGCATGATACTTAATGAATTTAACCATGTCTCTTTTATCTTTTTGGTTTTACATCCTAAGCAAAGCTTCCCCTCTTACCAGTACCTCTGCCACTTTCACATACACTGGCCAGCTCCCAAAGAACTACACGGAGACTTAATATTAATTATAAATGCTCAACCAATACCTTAGGCTCTTACAACTTAAATTAACCCATATTTCCTATCTAAGTTCTACCATGTGGCTCATGGCTTGTTACCTCATATTTGACACATCCTGCTTTCTCTGCATCTGGCCAGCAAGCCTCCAGGATTCTTCTGTCTCTATCTCCCAGTGCTAAGACTACAGGTATATATTATAGCTGACTTTCTAATGTG